TTACAATGAATACTAATGTCTGAGACGGATACACTAGAGGAGTCCTTCAATGAGCACCTTCTCATTCCTACACTCTCCCTACATCCATCCTCTCCCAGGGCTTTAAATAACAGCCAGGGGCTCACTAATCAATCAGAAGTACCATCTCTAAGCCCAAACACCTTTGCTGAGTTGCAGACCACATACCCAACTTCCCATTTGATATTTCCTCTCAGATATCTCATCCAAACACGTCTCTAAACATGTCTAGAACTACAGGCTGTCCTCCAAACACCTCAAAAAAATAAAATAAAAAATCTGTTCCTTCCTTATGTTCACAAATGGTACTTTCACCTGAGAGATACATAAGCAAGTCATTCCTAACACTTCCTATGACCACCACAAGGTCTTCCCATTTAAGCATTATCATCTTCATCTCCACTGTCACCATTCTAACCTTATAATTTGTATACCTCTCTACACAGCAATCAGCATGATCTTGTAAAAATACAAATCAGAGCATGTCACTGCCCCAATTCAAATCCTTCAACAGCTTCCCGTTGCATTTCAGATAAAACCTAAACTCCTCAGCATGGTATACTAAGCCCTGGACCCTGGTTACCTTGCCAACATCATCTTGGATCTCTCTTACATGTGATTTATTCACTGTAGTCCACAGCTCCGAGCATATTTCAGTTTCTAAAACTTCCTTCCCTCGCATAGAGACTTCAGTCTTCATGACATACTTCAAGTCACCCCGACCTCACACCTCTGTTTTTACCTAACTTTTTTCATCCTTCAGGTTTCTGTTGAAAGATCAAAAAGGCCTTCCTTGACCCCCCAAACTGAATTGTCTCATAAAACCCTGCACATTGTCTTCACAACACATATCAAAAATTTTAACTATAGTAACTTGGTGATTTTGGTTTGCTTGTTTAGCATTTATCTTCCACACTAATCTGTAAGTTTCATAGGCCAGAAGAATACCTCCACTATTGTCCTCTACTATGTTAAGTAGCACCTAGCAGTGCTTAGCACACAAAAGGCATTTAACGAAGTTGTGTAGTAGTTAACAGTTGTTGATATTTTTATTTGATCCTCCCCTTCTTTCTATCCTCTCTGTCTTCTCTTGGGAATGTTAACTTAGAAGTTACTGGGCAGCCACAGATTGTTTCTGCAAATGAGATATAACGCTTAAATCCATCATTTCCCTACTAATTTACAGTGCAAAATCAGATGTATAGTACAACCTTCCTGAAAAATTAACAATGAGAACTGGCTAATACTTTGCTTATCTAAGCATTTAACTCTAAGAGAAATACCGAGCTATTTTTAAAGAACCCTGTAGTAAATTCCTGGCCTCCAATTACTACCAAGCCAATAACCCCCAACACCCATCTCAGTTAATCTTACCCACATCACCATATTCACACTATCATTCTATCCAGCCCCCATAACCTCGTGATTACATTATCTCAACAAGTTATCTCTGCTCTCCCAGTCTCAACACCCCATTTTAGACCCACTTTGTACCAAGGACATTTAGAGAAAACAGTGTCCCCTACTCAAAAACCAACTTATTATCAATCAGTACTAAATTCCTCAGACTAGCACCAAAGGCTTGTTATGCAAAGGTGATGCCTGTGGTCAATGGTCAACAAGCCAATACTAGGTTTTAGTAAAAACCTGGAAGGTTACATTGAATTAATTATATGAGCCTGACAATTTGTCACTGTTTGAAGCTAAAACCAACATATGGCTCTCCCTCATTTCTACAGACCAAAGTTGGGATCTGCTTAGCAAAGACTCCTAAACAGTTTTTGAGAAAAAAACATGAACTGCCTCACTATGCTATCAGTCCTTTAAACCTTGAGGAGGAACTAAAAGGTGCAAGTTCTATTTTCAGACATTTATGTGCTTGACTACAAAGATATTATGATGCAAAGTATATATAATGTTTCAGAGAGAAAACTTTTTAACAGTTTAGTTATAACATACAACCTACCCCTGAGAATATGCTTTTTAAATTATAGACATAAAATGTGTATATACATATCTACCTATAACAATGGTTGCTCCTCATTAGTTGGGGATACTATATTTGCAAATTCATCTACTCACTAACATTTGTACCCCCAAAATCATTACTCATAGCACTTCCACTGTCATCTGCAGACATGTGCACAATTGTGAAAAATGTGAGTCTACTGACGTGCACATTCTTGCTTCAGCTTACATACTGTAAACAAGTGTCCTTTTCATGGTCTATTTAGTGCCATGTTTTTCTCATTTTTGTGCTTGCTATTGGTGATTTCACTGTTGAAAACAGTCCCCAAACATAGTGCTAAAGTGCTGTCTAGTGTTCAAGGAGCAAAGACTACAGAGAAAACACAAATGTTAGATAATCTTCATTGAGGCATGAGTTACAGAGCTGTTGGCCATGATTTCAACGTTAATAAATCAACCAAATATATTAAATAAGGTGCGTTTTAGGCTGCAACACACATAAAACAAGGTTGTATCTTAATCAGTTGACAAAAATGTTGTGACCAGAGGTTTTCAGGAATCTAATACTGTAGTAGGAGCAGTGCTTCAGTATTTGCTAATCCAGTTTTCACGGTGACCTTTTGGAACGTAACTAATTATATACAAATAACAAGAGAGATGGACTGATTTATTGAAAAGACACTGCAGAGGTCATTATAAGTAAGCTACCAATGTTTGCAGGAGCATGGCAAAAACACTTCAGGGCACAGCATCTACCGGGTCTTCCCAACTCTGTTTAAAAAACTTTGGGCCAAAGCAAAAAATGCAAAACCTACCAAGTTTGTGCTTTGGTCTATCTTAGCTTCCACCCCTTTTCCTACTCAGTGGTATGCCTCTCCCCAAATCAAGTACTCTTAAATTTCAATGCATTTTCACAAGCACATCGCCCAATCTAATGATCAGGCAGATCTATCAATTATTGATTAATCAAACTTAAATGCGAACTACACTTGTGCTTAAACATCTTGTCTAAATTGTGGCACTATTTGGAAGGGAGAGGGGATATTAAGCATCTGAAATAAGAACAGACCGGCCAGGATCAAAAAGTAAACTGATTATACATAGACAATTTCAGTTGTGTGGGTGATGGAGACAGAAAAAACATACAAGGAAAGAAAAGCTAGGCCTTGGCCTCCCTTCCAGGAAATTAAAGCTGGGGTGTAGCATGGAGAAGTTTCATCTTCCAAAAGGATTTCTTCAACCCTTGCTTCCTCCTAGCATTTGATTGTTGATTTTTCAAAAGAAAGGATACATTTATGGCAAAAGTCAGTGGAACACTCTAACAGTGACATTAGCGCTTGAAATAAATTTTTATTCTTCGCTGTGGTTGAACGAACTCTCCTTTTGAAATTCATCTTTATTTTTTATTTTCCAAAATTATTTTTTATTGAAAATGGCTTGCTTAGGGTAGTGATAAGATATGCTTAGGGTAGTGAGTGATACCAGTTACAAATTCAAAACCTAGTTTGTGAAATGTCAACATTTTTTTTTTTCTATTAAATAAAACACCCTTTTGGGATCTGGTGGAATGAAGTGAGTGTAACACTACTCAAGCTACACTTCAATTAGTTATTAAAACTATTCAAAGACAGAATATGGCATTTGAGTTAATAGCCATGTGTTTTTAAAACCTACAACACAATCTAAACCAACAACTGAAATTCATGTGTAATAAAGAGCTAGAAAACTTCATAGTATAGTAAATCTTTAATAAGTACCACTCACCACATATTCATTCTTCTGAAAAACTAAGGATCCTCCTTCTCCCACCTCTCCAAGTTTCGGCTAAGATCATTATTCTGAGCAATGGTTCACGACACAATGTGTACAACTCAATAATTCACGATTTCTTTCTCTTTCAAATATTTTATACAAAAATATTCATGTTTTTTCCCTTGTGCTAATTTACTGTTGTTTATAGCATTTCAAAAATACAAGCAAAATCTCAGTCTACTGTTTTCAAACCACATCAACGTCTAACTCTCGGAGAACTTAATCCACTCTTCGATTTCTTTTATCTTAACCATAGAACTCAAAAGGGCCATTTATCAACAAAAAGTATTTCTTTTAAAGAGTTTATTTTGTAATGTCATTTTGCAATTAAAAACTCAAAGGCCAATGAAGCATGAAGCACACAGGGCAAGTATTTTCTACAAGGCAATTATGCCAGAAATACAAAACTAAATTCCAAGTTTTTATTTTAAAATGCAGTAAACTTTTTTTGTAAGTAGACTTCTACCTGCCGTCATAACCTGTTCCAGGTCATGAAGGACCGACCACAAAACTTTGCAAACGAAAATTTCATATCACCTTTTAAACTACTATCAGAGAGACATACTGGGAGGGCATGAATAGCACCTTGTCCAACAGAGAAGATTCTAAATAACAAACACAAATGGGCTTCAAGTTTACCTGCTTCTCAGTGCAACCTACTAACTGAATTTAGAGCAAAGGATCACCTCCAACACGCACACATGCACACAAATACATTGTTTTTCAACATATGACTGAGCTGCAGCAAACCCGAGCTTGACACCAGGGGCTGCAGGGTCCTATGCCCTGCAGCGCGGGTGGAGGCTCAGATGAAGAGGCCAACGCATGACACTCGTCTGAGCCACAGCTGGCAGAACAGAGCTTCAATCCTGCTCGATCTGACCCTCTAATGAGTCACTGGCCCAATCACAACACCTACCCACTTCCTAGCACGTCTTCTATCTATTTTCTCGCGTCAAAAAGCACAGAAAATGATTTAAACTAGGTATGAGAGAACTGTGCACCAGCCAGATCAGCCAGCGGCAAGAAAAGCCAGCTTAAGAGAGAAAGCCCGAGTCACTCTTTTAAGAGTCCCCGCTGGCCCGGCAGCGGAGGAACAACGGGGTATAAAAGTCAGTTCGGAGGGCGATGACCCGGAGAAGCCGCCGCCACACCCCAACCCTCCCTCACCTGCCTGTCCGAGCCTCCCCGGACGCCCGTACCTTCGGCCAGCGACTCTTCCAGGGTGACCTGGTGGCGGCCGACCGCGAACACCCGGACCCCTACGGACGAGCCGCCGGAGCCGCAGCCGGCCCCGGCCCCGCCAGCCCCGCCACCCGCCGCTCCGCCGCCGCTGCCGCCCTCCGACTTGGGCATCCGAGAGAACTTCTTCATGGTCCCGCCGGCGTGCTGGAGGGCGCAGGGAGCGCGCAAGGGCGAGGGAGAGGGCAAATCCCTGGCCCGGCGCGCAGCTGGGCGTCCGCAAGGGGTCGCCGCCCCTGGCCGGTCCAAGCGTCCGTGCGCGCTGCGGCCCGCCAAACCTCACATTCTGCGCTCCCCAAGCGCACAGCCCGGGCCCCGCCGCCGGCTCCGCGGCTCCGCTGCAGCTGCCCAGCTCCCGCAGAGGGCGGTGGGGAGGGTGGGGACGGGGCGGGGCGCGAGGGGGCGGGTCTGATTGCAGGGGCGACGCCGCCGCCTCCGCAAGTGCCCCAAGCGCCCCGCCGCCTCACTAAGCGCCTGGAGCGCAAGCCGGGGTAGAGGGAGAGAGCGAAGGAGGCGGGGCGGCCGGCCCCTCCAGGGAGTGGGCTGGACGTCTCTGGCCGCAAACCCGCAGTACCGCAGCCCGTCGCGCCTGCCGCCGCCCCAGCCGGACCAGAGCCGCCCGCCACTCGTGGCCGTTGGCGGGGGTGGGGGGGCGCTGCTGCCTACCGCTCACTGAGGCCGGGCGCCTCGCGCAGGCGCGCTGCCCGCCCCGCCGGAAGTGACGGTTCCGGCTCTTGTCACGTGGAGGGGGACCAAAGGAGGTGATTGTGGGGGTTGGGGACTAGGGCAAAGTCGGGGGTCCCTGGTCCCGGGTTGCGCTGGGAGGGTACTGACCAGGCCCGACTTCGAGCAGGGAGGTGGCCCTGGGACTGGCTCCCGCGCTAGTCACGCACCCGGGTCCGTCATGTCGGCTAGGAGTCGCTATGTCACTCTAGGGGCTTAAAAATGCCGCCAACAACTTTACCCATGCTAAGGAACTTCTCGCTTCGTTTCTTAGCCAGTTTTCCAGGCCTTCTCCCTTGAGAATCTCCTTCCGCTCGCCCACCCTGAGCGTGGGACGTGGGAGCAGGACGGAACTGGAGTGGTTTCCAGTAACTGGACTTCTAAAGCCGACTCGGTGTCGTCGCGCTGTGTAGCGGACGCTTGTGCTGGGAAGCGTTTTGCAGTTTATAAATTACTTAGGAGTACTTTAAATATCTCACTCCTGGTGTACGACAGCCATATGGGGGTATTCAGAGCAGGTATTAAGGCCGTTTTACAGACCATTTATCACCCTTCGCTAAAACTTAACGGAGTCGCCCAAGGTCACACAGCTGGCTCGCGGTAACTGGGGACCATTCTTTGATTCATAATTTTTTGCTTTTGGCCACCCTGAAGAAGTAGGTTAGGGTCAGATCGTTGACAAACGGGCAAATCTAGGGCTGTTTGAAAGCAAAAGCGACCACTGCGTCCCCCTCTTAAAGAGATTTGCACCCCCTGCCAAAAAAAAAAAAAAAAGCCCCGTTGCATCAATTTTATAAACTTCAGGAGTCTCCTGACTGCAGGGTGAAGCAGCAAAAGAAATACGGGAGTAAACGTTCAGGAGTGGTAGGGAATGGAAAACTGTAGAGCCTATGTAAAGAGAGCAGCCAATTCTGAGCTCCAGCCTACTTTTCCACAGAAGAAGATATGCACACACACTGCTCAGAAGTTACAGTTTCTTAAGAGAACCAAAAACCTGGAATTTTTTCTAATGTGGCATTTTCCTAATTTTTAAAATATAGACCAAATAAATTGTATCTGCAGGGCTCCAGTATGCACCTTCTATGAAAGTAGGTGAATGTGGTTCTATCCCCACCCCATTTCTTTATTTTTAATGAGATAACGGGTGGAAACATTACAAAATGTGCTTAGACAAAAACTTTGAACTTAAAATCCTTGTTCGTTCTTCTCTGCTATTTGAAGAGAAGCTATTTCTGCCAACACTAAAACAGTGCTCTGGATTTAGGCATTTCTGCTACATAACCCACTAAACTAAAATTCTTCATCCAGAGACCTGACCTTTAAAGTAGATTCCAGCTCAATAGAAGTGAGATTATATGTCAGATGATTGATGTGGTGTGGCAGTTGGGGATTTCCATTTAGAAACAAGCTGACCACTTTCGCTGCCGTGGGCTTCATCGTGGAGTCTCATTCCTCCATTTGAATTGTTTTGAATTGTTTTTTAAGCAGAATAATGGAGAGATTAAGTCATTTCATGCAATTCAAAACTGGAGTCAGACAAACATACAAAGTTTGGGCCTGATATAACTTCACCTGATCACAACAAGCCTGCTATAATAAGTTTCAAACTCAGTTTACGAGGATCACTTGAGGCCAGGAGTTCAAAACCAGCATGGTCAACATAACAAGACCTCATCTCTTTAAAAAAAAAAAAAATTGTAAATTAGCCAGGTGTGGTGGTGGTGCACCTGTAAACCCAGCTACTCAGGAGAGAGAGGCAAGAGGATGGCTTGAACCAAGGGATTCAAGGCTGCAGTGTGCTATGATGGCACTACTGCACTCCAGGCTGGGTGTCTCTTAAAAACAAGAAGTTTGACCAGTCGAAGTGGCTTACACCTATAATCCCAGCACTTTGGGAAGCCGAAGTGGGTGAATTGCTTGAACTCAGGAGTTCAAGACCAACCTGGGCAACATGGTGAGACTTCCCATATCTACCAAAAACACAAAAATTAGCTGGACATGGAGGGGTGGTGCAGGCCTGTGGCCCCTGCTACTTGGGAGGCTGAGGTGGGAGGATCACTGGAACCAAGGCAGTTGAGGCTGCAGTGAGCTGTGATAGCACCAACTGCACTCCAACCTGGATGACAGAGAAAGACCCTGTCTGTAAGTAAATAAATAAGTCAATATACAATTAAGTGGTAAAGATTACTTGTATGTACCAATGTAACTTGACTTTTGATATTAAAATGTATAATTATACTAAATGTATAATTAAATGTGTAATAATGTATAGACCCCCTCTGAAAGATGAGGGTAACACCAAGCAATATGTTGATTTTTTCACCAAGCATGTGGCAAAATTTGGATATCCTCCCATCTTTATAGTACACTAATGACTAATGTCACAATATTCTGTAACACCCCATAACAAACATATAACTTAAAAATGCGAAGACTACTAATAATCCAAAACATTAGCAAGATGTGGTAGTGCAGACCTATGGTCCCAGCTTCTCAGGAGGCTTAGGCAGGAGGATCGTTTGAGCCCAGGAGGTTGAAATTGCAGTGAGCTGTGATCACACCACTGCACTCCAGCCTGGGTGACAGAGCAAGACCCTGTCTCAAAAAAAAAAAGCAAAAATATTGTAGAGTATTTCCCCCCCTTATCCAGGAAGGATACATTCCAAGACTCCCAGTAGATGCCTGAAAGTGAGGATAGTAACCAAACCATGTATGTATAATGTTTTTTCCTGTATATACATACCTTTGATAAGGTTCAGGGTTTAAATTAGGTACAGTAAGAGGTTAACAATAATAAATTAGAACAATATAACAATTTCATGGATGGAAGATTCATTTTTACTGTAGATCTTAGCAACCTCAGCATATGATTTTTTTTTAAATTAAGTTGAGAACTTCACCTTTTCATTTAAGGAAAGCACTTTATGCCTTCTCCTTGGCATATTCGAATTGCCAGCATCATTATGCTTGCACTTGGAGCTATTAGTAAGTAAAATAAGGGTTCCTTGAACACAAGCACTGTGACAATGCATCTGAAAACTGGGAAGGCTACTAAGTGACTAACAAGCAGAGAGTGTAGACAGATATACTGGGCAAAGGGATGATTCATCTACCAGTCGGGCTACTCAGAACAGCATGCAATTTAAAATTTACCAATTCTTTTTCTGGAATTTTCTATTTAATATTTTCAGACCATTGTTGACCACAGGTAACTGAAACTGAGGAAAGCAAAACCGTGGGGATGGGGGATTACTATGTTACTAATAACAAGAAGGCCAAACATTTACAAACACTTTTACTACCAAAAGATGTTAACATCTATTGTTAAATCATATTCTTCTAGCAAATTTGTGAAATAATAATGTGTAACCTGAAATCAATTTTTAGGCAGAAATTTAGATATTAAGGGCAGGCTGTAACCAGCAGAAAAACTGTATTGAAATTTCTCGTCTTTCAGATTTTTTTCAGAAAATTTTATAGCCATATGTTACTTTCTTACTCCTTAAATTTATTTACTGGCTTACAGTAGATTAAGCATTGTAAAGACTTTCATTTTAATGAATCATGCAATTCTTGGACATAACAAAATACTTTTTATGAGTTAAAAACCTTCATAATACACTGGCTAGTGTTTAGAACAAACTAAAATGCTATGACGTGATCTGAAAGTTCGAGAGGTACAAATATAGAAGTCAAATCCCAGACCCCAAAGCAAACTTTTTTATCAACATACAATATTAAACATGTAGTGTCTTTTCTAATTAATATTAGACTATTAAAATCTGTGCTTATGATTTTAAGAGGTTTCATACATTTTGACCTTTAACATTTTAATGAGTCAACATAATAGAATATTTATTTAAGTAAATAGATCTTTTCCAAATATTCATGTGTGTGTGTGGGGGGGGGGTGGTTACAGTCTGATGATCTTCCCAGCATATACTGCAAGGATTACTGAACCTAGTTGCATCACAGTATATATACTCAGAGTGCCCTAATCATCATTATTTGGATTTGAAGGCAAAAAGAATGGGCTCAGTGGTTCAGAGGGAGAAATTTTAGTGAATACAAAGATGTTGGAAGTCCAGGCCTGGTAGCTTACGCCTTGGCACTTTGGGAGGCCAAGGCAGGAGGATTACTTGAGCCCAGGAGTTCAAGACCAGCCTGGGCAATACAATGAAACCCATCTCGACAAAAAAAAAAAAAAATTTAAAAATTAACTGAGCGTGGTGGCGCATGCCTGCAGTCCCAGCTACTCGGGAGGCTGAGGTGGATCGCTTAAGCCCAGAAGGTGGAGGCTGCAGGGAGTCGAGATCACACCACTGCACCATTGCTAATGTTGAAAAATGAAATGTTTCCAATGTCTATATCCAGGAAAACTCTCTAGTGTATTTGGAGTTCCATGCAGAAGGCAGTCTCAGGCATTGTGTTGGTGGAGACATAGCTTCTGTTTCTCTTAGTTACAGTCGAAGTTCCAAGTTCTATAAACAGTTGTAACGTTTCTTGTTGGCAAAGAGAGTTTTTTGCTTTTTTTTTTTTTTTTTGCCAAATGTCCAGATGCCATTCTTTGCATGTTCCCAACCACCTCCCAGTAGTAGTGACCAGGTGAATCAAGATGAGCCCAGTGTACAAACTAATCTTTCGGTGCACTTTTTGGGCATTCTTCAGATCATCAGAAATGATGAGATTATTACTGTGTCACCATCTCATGTCATATCCAGTTTTCTGGTTTATTATTAAAGATATACAGCTCAGGAACAGCTGCGTAGATGAGATGCATAGGGCAAGGTACAGGAAGTGGTAGTGCACAAAGCATCCATACTTCTCCAGGTGCACCACCCTCCCACCACCTTGATGTGTTTATCAACACAAAAGCACCATCTTCTAGTTTTACACTCATTATTAGACCATG